AACGGCCATAACTTGCCCAAATTGAAGCCGATCCGAAAGTTTTCAGCGTTTAAAAGTATCTGCTCCTGAAGGCCTTCAAAACTGCATTTAAACTTTTCAAATCGAACGGCTGGAGAAAAAGTTAAATTTTTGGCCATTTTTACCGAGAGCCATAAGCCGCCTATTGGCCGGCCAATTTAGATGTTCAAAATTGCCAATATTATTGATTTTTTATGTACTTCCCATTGATATATTACATTTGAGATGAAAAGTTACTGCAAAAAATAAAACACAAAATTTATAGGCGTACGCTCAATTTTGTCCATGACTGTATATATTTGAATAATAATGTCCTTTTTCAATTAATTATCGGTTCTGGTTCTGGTTCAACACTTACGTCTGTCGTTGCCTTTGTCATGATGAAATTGAATTGATTTTTTCTGCGTATCATCTTTCAAGATATCTGCCACGCTGTGTATAGGGAGTTTCCTTAACTTCTATGAAATGAAAATCTTTTTTTACTAAGTGTTTTTATTTTATTTTTGAATTGTTCAAATGAGGCACAAGCAGAGCTATGTCTTGCTTGGCTGGTGAGTTACAGACAGACGTGGGCACTGGGGGGGGGATTTCTGGATTTACCCCCCACCTGGTGATGGTAACGTCCGGATTTCCCCCCTCTAATTCGGCTGGTCGTAACCCCCCTCTAAATTTTTTGTAATGGTCAAAATCCCTCCCCTAAAAATTTTAAATTATTATAATAACGGTTCTCTATGTCTCTCTCTCTCATTGCATTAAGTAAACAAACCCAATGATAACGTTTACCTTTGACCGAAGTCGAACAAGCAGGAAAAACGCAGTCATATTATGTTTATTACGAAATTTCTCAAAAATCTTCTAAGAATAACCCCCCAAACCCGTCCCCCCTTGCATTTTCCATAAATCTGGTTTGACCCCCACCTATGAAACATTTTCCTTACACCCCCTCCCCCCCAAAAAATTTCCATTTTGAACGTCTGACCCCCACCTAGAATTTCAAACCGTGCCCACGTCTGGTTACAGAAGACTAAATTCTAGAGACAAATTTTTTTCCTAGCTTAACTAATTGTTTTTCTTATCAATATTCTGCAAAATAATGGGGAAAGCATATTGACCAATTAAATGAGATAAGTAGGTGAAAAGGGATGGGTTTGCACTTGACAAGGTATTGGGAATGTGAACCATCAATTCGGCTTAAAGTTCCGAATGATATGAAAGGTAGACGAAAGAAAAAGGGATTAGCAAATGCTAATTGTTTTGCGTGCACATTTTGAGCACAAAGTGGCACCATAATGTCGGGTACGTCAGGAATTACCCAAAAATGGAAGTCAGTTTTAAAGAAAATGCATCAGTTTTATTGCCTAACGTGATACGTAGCTGAACTGTGCACGCATGTTTGTGAATGTTATACTGTGTGGGGGAATTCCAAACGCAATTAGGAGATGAAAAAGACAAGAAAGGAGAAACGAGACGAAAATAATAAAAATTATTAAGGATGCAGACAAATATTGAAGTCTGCAACAAAAACAGAAATGCATTTTTGGTGCTCGACGCATATTCAATTCATGCGAGACGGTAGCATATATAGTCATAAAGCAGTTCGGTACAAAATATGAATCGTGCAGTCAATTGAACGCAATGGCAGTGCCGATATTGCTACATTGCTATGCGAATGCTAAGTTTCTACTCCGACCTTTGTTCCAAACCGACCAAACACCTGCAAAACGGTCATAATCCACAGACATGCAGATCGGACGGTATACGATGCCATACAATTTTGAGAGACTCGGAATTTTGCAATCTTTGAACTTTGAAGGTATCATAAAAAATTATTTAAATCCTAAAAGAATTTCTTTTAGCACAAAAATCTGTGATCGGCTTTATTCAATCTGTCACTTCGCAAAAATGCCCGTTTTTTGCCCTTTCGAATGTATGTGTTGGGCTAATCACTGGCATGCAAAATGATCACAACCAAAACATTTTCCCATAAACTCTTTTGAGACTCTCTCATTCATTATGAGTGGTAAATCCACGCATAAGAGCGTCGGTCCATTTTAACCTCGTCTAGAGGTTTTTCATCTGATATATGTATATATTCAATGAATTTAAATGAAATTTTTCTTTCCTTATATCTAATTTAAATTTCAATAAAACGTTTAAAACTGATGCAATTCAATGATCTTTGACTTTTCCTCTTGACAAAATTACACATTCTGACAAGGATCTTTAAAAAATTCCCAAAAAAAATCGTGAAAAACTATGGTTTTATAAAAACAATTGAACCAAAAATCGCATAACCGGTGATAAACACTTTATTCATATCTGTCGCAGAAGAAAAAGTCTGAATGAAAGCTTAGAATTATTTACTTTTTAAGTTGAAAGATTCACTTCAATCCAGTGTGCGAATTAGTTGTGCTCGAACATTTGCACCAATTTTATGACTCTTCCGAATATCACCAACACGGAACATAAATAGCCATCCCGTTGACACACCACCGCGTACTTTGAAAAGAGCAGGGTTTTCGTTCGCTGTTTGGGACGCGTCATCTTTGCGAAAACGATTCCGACCATAAATGCCTGCACAAAAACACCGTAAATTGATTGGAAACACATCACAAATATTGCTTCCGGGCATTCTTCGGTTGTCGTGCGCACACTGAAAATATAAATGGCACGGTGAGAAAAAGGATTTTAATCAAGTTATTTTCTAATTACCAATATCCGATGGTGTGCTTTGTCTCAATGGAAAAAGGGAAACATGACGCAAAACTGTATATGTTGAAAACACAAAGCACCCATTCATTTTTAGCTGTGTAATGAAAAAAAAAGTTTTTTTTTGTTGTACTTTTTATTTTACAGAAAAATAGAACCAAGTTCAGGTTTTTAATAAGAGGAAGAAGAAGCAGCAGAAAAATGACGATGAAAAGGGTAAAACAAATCAACGTGACACTGAAAACGCGAGTTAAATATAAATGTTTTTATATGAATCTATCAAACGATTGTCAATGTCGGTAGCATGTGATATAAAATGATCCATGTAATCAGTGATAATCAGCTGATTCTGGTTTGAATGTGCTTTTAAGTACATTTACATTGACATTTTGAATTGAAATTAATATATTTCAATGAAAATGGGGTTAAAAGCCAAGAAAGAACGAAACTAAGGGCAAACACAATCAGAGTCCATCGCCATTGGGAATCGACGAGTGTGTTTGTGCGATGGTGACGTATTGATTTAAAAGTTTGTACTGTAGTTAACACAGTATATAAAGTGTGCTGTTCAACATTTCCGCGCGTGAGATTGCTTAACGTAGTAACATCATGGGACTGAAAGAGTACAATGCAAGTGATTTCGTTGTATAAATGAAATTTGGTTCGGTTGACATGCAAATTCCATATGATAGCAATTTTCAAATGAAGCCTTTGTAAATGCTCAACAGCTCAACAGTCGACGTTTATTTGCTTTCTTAATGGAATACAAACACTTTTATTGTTTATATTTCAGAGTTATGACAAGTTTTATTTATCCAAGTCCTTAAGAATAACAATAAAAACACTCTTAAATATACATAAATCATGATTTTTTCGATGTTAGCAGCAGCAGACTGAATGGGTTGACCTGAAGAACGTGATTCATTTGCCAAGATGTGCTAACATTTTCATTGTATTTGTCGCGTGCCATAACCCAGGGAAAACTCTATAAAATTACAAATATTCATTACCGTTAAGCAAGTAGAAGGCAAGGTGAAAATGAACACGAGACAATGAATATAATAATAAGAACATTCTGTTTCAATAACTATCAATTACCTCTGATTTTGAATTTTCCTTGTTAACGATATCAACGTAAGACGAATCGGTGGTTTCGAGGTGAATGCGAAAGCCGCAACAGTCGGTGTTTAAACGTTTCAAATTCTTGGCCATTTGTTCAAGTTGAATAAGTCCACGACGCAGCTCCTCTTCAAACTGTATGATGTACAATTCGATGTCTAATTCTTTTTTGTCCTCATTTTCGTCTTGTTCCACTCGAAAGATATATCTTTCAATGATTTCTTCATCGTCTGGTGTTCCGAAACACCGTACACACGACGCCGCGTGAATATTGCAGCCGGATACACTTCGCGAACATACAAAATCGAATTGATGTACACTTCAAGCATTTCCAAGAACAAATCGTTCTCCATTTTGATTTCATCTACAATAAATTCAATCTGAGGCTGTAATTTCAACTTTGCTTTATCGTCATCATCAAGACCTTCATCCTCTTCATTCGATTGTTCAGAAATGTCAAGGGGTCCTATTTGCAGAGAGACCAATCTTGTAGCATTTCCATGCCAGAATGAACGGCGTATAATGAAAGGCTTACGCTTACCAAGTGTCGATAGCAGTGCATCTTGATCACATTCCTGATCTTCAATTTGTTCCAATGATTCGCTCTGAGCTTGATGCGTATTAAACAAAATATTGGAGATTCGGAGAATAGCATTAATAGTACTCCACATATTATGGTCAAACCAATCATGACTTGCGGTGTTGTATAGAAAGCAAAATAATGTCCCAAAATGTAAGACAAAAATATGCCTAAATTTTCCGACAAAACTAAAATCGATCCAAGTGTACCTCGAACGCTGCAAAAAAAAATTCGTGAAAATTGTTTTATCCTTCATTTAAATTGTCCATATTAAATTATACCGATCGATACATATTTCGGATGAGAAGAGAGGTAAAATGATAAAAATGCCACCGCCTACAGACCCATTCATCAATCTCGCCACATACAAATAGTAGACATTTTGCGCACGCATTATGAGCAACCAACTTATCTGCAGAATATAGAGTAAATTCAATCGGTAATCGGCAAATAATCGAATAAAATTATTACAATGATTGGAAATGTCATCATGATTAATGGCATTTTTCGACCGAATCGAGCAGTAATGAATGCATAGGCTATGTTGCCAATCAATCCTCCCACAAATGATAATGATACAACCCAAGAGGCTTGTTTCATTGTGATTTTGCCTGATGGCAACGGCGTTTCATCGGACTGAAGCAGAATTATGGAAGGACTCGCCCATCCACCAGTATTTCGAAAAAAAAAATCAATTAAATATTTTTTCACTCAATTCTTTATTTGTACTTTAATCATCAGCAACCCACCAGTAATTCTGAAACCAATCGGCAATAGATTTACTAAAATCAAACGAAAAATTGGAAATTTGATTATGCAAAATGGTCGGTTTATCTAGCTGTTTTGTTGTTGTACCCGTAAACGCAAAAAAGTACTGATATTTTGTACTTCGCTCGAACTTTTCACTCATTTCCACATCGATCATTTTTAAACCAATTCTTCTTGAATCGATTGCCACTCACCATCAAACACGTACTGATTGTCAATTGGAAATTCGACAGTATTTTGTATTATTGGCACACATTTCAAGGTCCATTTTAACGCGATACGAATTCAATAACAAACCGATTCAAATGGAACGAAATGCGTGAAATGTTTTCCAATTGCCAAAGATGATTTGAATTACAAGGTTGCCGACCTAGAAATAATCCAGCATGTTGCAGCAATGAAAAATTCACGAAAATAAATTTTTTTTCTCCATTTAAATTTGACGTTTTAAATCAGCGACGAATTTATTTCATTTCTACATTACGATTCGGTTGTACTATTAGTTCATGGTACTGATGAAATCATCATATAATACTGATTATGTACAGATTTTCTCTTAGTTATTCAAAGTAAACTCAACACAAAAGACTTGACAATTAAAGCTGATTCTTACAAACTGTTCTTAATGGAAACGATGCCCATATTCAAAGTGAGTTCATAATTTGATCGTAGCTCTTTCCCTTTGTCTCTGGCATAAATATAATGATGAACACTGCACTCGATAACAAACACCAGCAAACAAAAACATGCACCCGTGGAAACCCAATGTTTCAGTTAGCGTTGGAAGATATTTGATGATTATAAAGGCACAAGACCACAACAGTGTCATACAAAATGACACGCCGAAATCTTTCAAATTTTCGGGCATTAGTTCCGCGATTACTGGAAATGGCAACGTTAACACGGCCCAATTTGCAATGAAAATCACAAATGAAAAGCTTGCAATTGGAATCCAACTGTATGATTCAACGTCATAGCCCCACGTTTTTAACATCATGTAAACTTCCATAGTGATGAGGCCCATCGCCGTTCCAACGGTGGACACAATAAACAAAAACTAAAGTGTAAAAATTCATTATTAAGGAGTTTTATCGGTTTTTTGCCGCCTTCAATATAACTATGACCTAAAAAGTAAACTTACCTTTCTTCCAGCTCGATCAACTAAATTGGTAGCCACGTATGAGCCCAAAAATTGAATCACTGCCACGATAATTGTGGACATGTTTGGGGACATGCTTGAGCCAGCTTCTTGGAAAATATTCGCAGTGTATTGCTGCATTTTTAGCATTTCGAACGAAAAAAAATCAATTTCACTTTTATTTTACTCAATATTTTCCTTGTATTGAGAAACTCACCAACATGGCAAAACAGCCACAGAACTGATTCAGTGAAGCTAAAACGATTCCGATCGTGATGGCTTTTCGTGCTATCCGTTCGGTTATGAAATCGGTCCAACTTGATTCTTGGTTCGAAGAGCCGTCATTTTTGGTGCCACTTAGAGCATTTCTCAATTTATCCATTTCGAACTGAAGGGCTTCTTTGTCTGTTGTGCTTATGTTTTGATAGAACGAGATCGATTTCTCCGTATCCTGAAAGAAGCAAACGGTTGCACGATATGCGAAAGAAATAGCTTTTAATTGGTACTTCAATGGTTATTTAATGTTAAATTGCTTACGGAAATGCGGTTCTGTTTCAAAAGGAATTTCGGCGACTCAGGGAAAAAGCAAAACGAAATTTCGAATACTATCGTCAAAGCGATGATTACTTTTGGCGTTGTGTAAAAATTACAGAAATTTCCCAGAACAAAAGCCAAAAGTATTCCCATATTTGCGATTAATACCAAAGTGGAACCCAATGTGCCTCGAACACTGAAAATATATCAATTCTAAATACGTTGCTATCGCAAAACCAAAGTCAATTACAACATTACCGATCACATGCAATTTCATTCAAATACAATGGACAACAACAAAACACGCAACCGCCCACGAAACCATTGAGTAATCTCGAAGCAAACAAGTAGTATACGTTTTGCGCAAATAAAATCAGCAGCCAGCTTATCTATTGAAATCACAGATTGTTCTTAATAATTTTCCTGACTATTTGGATATAACACTCACCACGGTTGGAATTGAAATGAAAATCAATGGTAACTTTCGACCGAATCGGTTGGTGATATAACCGAAAAATATATTTCCAATCAAACCACCGACGCACAAAAGTGATGCGATCCATGATGCTTCGTCCATTGTGATTTTTCCAGATGGCAGCGGCGTTTCGTTGGTTGTTAACAGAATTATGTTGGGGCTTGCCCAGCCACAGGTGACTCCATATCCAACGCTCAACAGATTCACAAAACCTGCGGCGAGGTATTGAAACTTGGCGTTTGATTGCTGCATCGTTTTTGGGTCCACATTCCTCATTTTCAAAGCACTTCACTCGATGTCTGCCACTGAACTCACTCTGACTGAAAAGTGATTATTCTGTTTCTGTTTCACATGCTTTGGATTTATATAGCCATCCAATGATCGGTCGATTCAATCTCTGAATTAACTAAAAATGCATACGATTATTAGTTTTGGTCATAAATCTCATTTCCAACAGAATAGACAACATGCAGACAAATGTGATAACATTGATTTATCACTGTGACAGTTGGTTCGAATGGTGCACAGAAACAATACACGTGTTTTCATATGATGCGATCTTTTACAAATGTAATTTTGCACTACGGATGCCACGAATAAAATACATTTGATTTATCACTGTGATCCACTGTAATGTGGATAGAAAAAATGTTCACAATTGAACCCGTCATGTTACAATTGAACTCAAATTCGTTATGAGATTCAACTATAAAAGAACTCTGTGTGTTCTTGTGACATAATGAATCATTTTTCACAATTTATTCAAAACTAATACGTTTTTTTCAACACATCCACAGAATGTGTTGATGTAAATTACGGTTTTGTAATTTTAAATTTTTTTTTGGAAACAAGGAAGCCTATTGATTGCAAGATTCGAGTACGTATAACAATATATTTCTTTAGCTGAGTCTACCGAATCATTTCCATTGTTATTTACTCACGGTGTATTTTCTCTCCTTTTACCTCGCGTATGATAAGTATGATGAACAAACAACAAAATACTCAACAAACACCAAATGGCGAACAGAAACTTACTTCTGTTAAATGGCGCCAAATTAATTGCCAATTTTCAAATCGTGTCATAATTGCAATGGTTTCCCAGTTCTATGGATAAACGATATCAAGCTGTCAATAATAAAACTTGGAATCCTTCAAAAACTAATCATACCTACGTTCAAGCGCAAGAATATTTTCTTAAAACAAATTTTTCATGGGTAAAACTCGTGTTCATTTATCACATTTAAAGGCTTTATTTATTTTCAGTAATAATAAATAATTCAGTTTACAATTATTTTCAGTAAAATTATTTCCTATTCTTTGGTGTTTAAATCGAAGTCAATCATCGAAGAACGGCCATGATTTCTTCGTAGCTTTTTCCCTTTGTCTCCGGCATGAAAATGATGATGAACGTGGCGGCCGATAAGCAAGCGCCAGAGAATAGAAACATTGTTCCGTGCATTCCCAATGACTCAGTCAACAGAGGCAGATATTTTATCGTAATAAATGAACACACCCATAAAACTACCATGCAAAATGATTGTCCGAAATCTTTCAAATTTTCGGGCATCAATTCTGAGATTACTAGGAAAGGCAAATTTAACACGGCCCAATTTGCAATGAAAATCACAAATGAAAAGCTCACAATTGGAATAAAGTTGACCGATTCAACAGAAACGCCAGACGATTTGAGCATCATATATACACCGAGAGTTATCAAACCCAAGGCAATTCCAACTGATGACACTATGAATAAGAACTAAAGAGAAAATAGTTAAAATGAATTAACTTATTTTGGAATCAGACGTGAAATCCAATAAATATTGTTTGTTTTGTTTGTTTGACGACTCGACGCGTATGAATACTACTACATCAAAAGAGATCCGAACGCAATGAATTTGGACGAAGGCAATATAACATCAAGCCTTATCGACCGTTCACTGTTCGAAATGCATTCAGGTGTGTTCAAATAATTTATTATTTGTTAATTTTGTGAAATCATTAAGGTGTTAGACTCAAAACAAACAATAGTTACAATGAAGTTAAGGTGCAATAATGAGAAAGAAAGATTTACCTTCCGTCCGGATCGTTCAACGAGCAAGGTTGCCACAGATGAACCTACTAGTTGAAGAAGTCCAACCACAATTGATGACATATTTGGCGACATGCTCGATCCAGCTTCTTTGAAAATTGTCGCCGTGTACTGCAACATGGCGAAGCAACCGGAAAGCTGATTTATCATGGCGAGCACGATGCCAATCATCATAGCTTTCCTACCGGCTCCGGTTGATAAATCAGACAATTTGAACGAGTTATCGCTCGATTTACCGGAGTTTCCACCTTTAACCGTACTCTTCAACTTAGTCATTTCTGCCTGCAGCAACTCAAAATCCGAGTTATTTTTCAAGTTTTGATAGAATCGAATCGACTCTTCTGCTAGCTGAAACGAACCATTTCATTCAAAGTGAGCAAAATTCTTATTTGTCTATATATTTTGAAGTTTCAACACAAGTTTCAATTTGAAACACATCACATATCATCAATCGAATGAAACTTTTTAAATGAATGTTGTACATACTGATATTTGGTTCCGTTTCAGAAGAACCGTCGATGATTCTGGGAATAAAAAGAGTAAAATGGCGCACAATATTGTCATAACGATTACAAACTTAGGTGTCATATAAAAATCAAAGTAAGTTCCAAAAGTGAATGCTAGTAATATGCCCAGGTTACAAAACAACACCAGTGTTGATCCCAACACTCCTCGAACGCTGAAAATACAATTCATTTCATTTACTATTGAATCAAATTGGTATATTTGTGTCTATATATTTACCGATCATTGCATATTTCGGCCAAAAAAGGCGGAATTATTGTGTACACCCCACCTGCGACATATACCCCACAATCGCGCTGCGTATGAATAGTAGACATTTTGTGCAAACCAAATGAGCAAACAGCTCAACTGAAAATCGAAAATTGTTTTAAATTCATTCTAGAAGAAAAAGCGTTTCACTTACAATGGCTGGAACTGTGAGCAGAATCAAAGGTATTTTGCGACCAAACATACTCGTAATGAAACCGCTACATATGCTACCAATCAGGCCACCAATGCATATAAGAGATGCTATCCATGACGCCTCATCCATTGTAATTTTTCCCGATGGCAACGGCGAATCATCTGACTGTAGCAGAATGATATTTGGGCTAGCCCATCCACCGACAAAACCATGGCCTATTAGCAGTATATTTACTGTGCGAAATAAAATATTAAAAACTACTCTTAAAATTTCGGAAATCAATTTCAGACATTCGGTGAATTTTCTTTAAAACTTACCCACTAACGTGAGAAGGTATTGAAATTTTACACTTTGTTCGTGCGCCCTTGCTTTAACTTCATTCATCGTGTTTAACTCACTCGACAGACTGTCGTTGTGTCACATCACTCGGTCACTAGTGAACAATGGTAGATTTATGCGCATGTTTTTGATTTTTATACGTTGAAATTATTGACTTTATCTACAAATTAACGTTGGACGCCATGAAGTGAATTTTCAAGAGCAATAAATTCAACTTGACAAATTTGATAACAGTAATTTATAATACAGCGTGCCACTTTTAATTAGTTTCGAAAGCTATGGACACGTTTACGTGAATGGCGCACAAATGCATCATTGACAAAGATGTTGCACCATGTATGCGTCGCTACGTACCAGCACTAGTTCTAGAATGAAGGAATTGAAAGAGAAAACTATGTAACAAGTAGTATGATAGACGTGTGAATATGGCGACACCTCAATCGTAGTCAATGAAATTTCAGATCATTGAGAGTACTATTCCATTCTAAAAGCTCTTGGCTTTGAAAGCATTGCACGGACCATTTTCATGCAACAAATTGAACAAGCAGAAGCGTTTATGAATAAGTATAAATTATTGATTCAAAGTTTAGGAATAAGCGAAGCACCTGCAAAATTGATTCAATGATTCCGATTGTGATAGCTTTTCGTGCTTCAAAAGTAGTCGTTCGGTTACGAAATCGGTCCAACTTGTTTCTTGGTTCGAAGAGCCGTCTCTTTTGGTGTTGCCAAACGCATTTTTTAATTTATCCATTGCAAACTGAAGAGCTTCTTTGTTTGTTGTGGTTTTTCTGCTGTGATAGAACGAGATCGATCTTGTGTACGGCAGTTGTGTGTGTACTACGTCACTGTAAGATAAGCGATATGTGCGCATATTAGGCAGAGTATTAAATAGGGTAAGCAATTCTGTGGCGCACCCTTGTTAATAACCAGCAAATTCGACGCGTTTAACGTAACTTCCGTGTACTAATGAGGGTTGTATTTGTTGATAAATCTAAATCTTATCTACAGCGATCAGACCTGATACTGATATACTACCTAAACAGTGTACAAATATTTTACAACCTCGTGACTTATTGGAAGTTGTAATTGTGCAGCGTAGCAGGCTACCACTGAATAGAGCAGACCCTCACTAAATAGCTTAATGAGTTCCACGACAATATCATCCAATCAAACTATTTGGTGAACTTTTCTAATTTTCTATGCACTCAACTGTTTGACACGTTTGCTGTGATACAATGTCGTTTCAGCCGTTATTCTGAGTTTTCAATTTTACAAAATACTCTTCCCAGTGTGGAAGTAAATGGGATCTATCACACGACATGTGCTACCTGGAGTGTTTACAGTTTTAACTTTTGATTATTATTATCTAAATTGTTGGATATGATCGTTCACCAAAACGTTGATAGTGAATTTTATTGAAGCTTTTGAAAAAAAAGTCTTTTTTCTTGAAAATTCGTGATTGGTTTATATCTTGATGGTTCATATCAAACTGTCAGTAAAACTACTTAGAACGCACAATTTTGCTTTGAAATAATTGGTGCTTCATGCAAATGTCAAACTTAATTGAGTTTGACTAATGTCAAACGTCGATGCATCCGTACATACATTAATTTAATAGGATACACCGCTGATACGATTGAACACTATGAATACGATTACTATAGGATATTTTATTTCGGTATGTGAATAATTCGCTCCTATATATCCACAGTTAACCTATTCAAATTAATTTCTACATCATAATATTTACAATCAACACGATCACATCCTCCTTAAAGCGAGCTCATAATTTGCTCGTAGCTCTTTCCCTTCGTCTCTGGCATAAATAGTAATATGAATACTGCACTGGATAAACAGGCACCAGCGAACAAAAACATGCTTCCGTGGAATCCTATTGCTTCGGTCATAAAAGGCAGATATTTGGTGATTGTAAAGGCAACGATCCATAAAAGTGTCATACAAAATGATGCACCGAAATCTTTCAATTCTTCAGGCAATATCTCGGCGATGACCAGGAACGGGAGCGTCAGTATAGCACATGATGCTAGGAAGATTACAAATGAAAAGCTTGCAATTGGAATCCAATTGAATGTTTCAACTTGGTAGCCCCACGTTCTCAACATCGTGTATGTTCCCAAAGAGATCAGGCCTATTGCTGTTCCAACGGTGGACACAACAAACAAGAACTAAAGTGTAAAAATTCATTATTAAGCAGTTTTATCGATTTTTGTTGCCTTCAATATAACTATGACTGAAAGAGTCGACCTACCTTTCGTCCAGCTCGATCAACTAAATTGGTTGCGGCATATGAGCCCACAAGTTGAATAACGCCAACAATAATAGCTGACATATTTGGAGTCATGTTCGAACCGGCTTCTTCGAAAATACTCGCAGTGTAATTCTGCATTTTTGTTTCAAATTCCGAACAGAAAAAATCAATTAAATAGTTAATTCACTCAATATATATTTCATTTTCAGAAACCCACCAACATCGCGAAGCACCCGCAAAATTGATTCAGTGCGGCTAAAACGATTCCGATCGTGATGGCTTTTCGTGCTAGTCGTTCGGTTATGAAATCGGTCCAACTTGATGTTTTACCCGAAGATCCATCTTTGTTCGTGTTGCCAAGCGCATTTTTCAATTTATCCATTTCGAACTGAAGGGCTTCTTTGTCTGTTGTGCTTATGTTTTGATAGAACGAGATTGATTTTTTTGTTTCGGAAATGCGGTTTTGTTTGAACAGAAAAATCGGCGACTCAGGGAAGAAGAAGAATGAGATTGCGAATATTATCGTCAAAATGATGATTACTATTGGAGTCGTGTAAAAATCACAGAAATTTCCTAAAACAAAAGCCAATAATGTGCCCGTATTTCCACTCAACATCATTGTTGAGCCCAATGTGCCACGAATACTGAAAGAAAATTCAATTTCAATCATTTTGACAATGAGAAATCGGAATCAAGCTAACAGGCTCGCTTTTAATTGAACATAACACAAACATCCAGTATAATACTTTACCTATCACTAGCGATATCTGACAAATACAATGGGGTTATGACCTTTGGATGGATAATATTGGTTAACAGGATAAAAAATGTCGAATGTTAACGTCCGTGAAAAGTCTAAAGTCTTATTCAAAACATTTTCTATCAAACTTACGAAAACGCCACCGCCTACGATACCATTGAGAAATCTCGAAGCATACAAGTAGTACACATTTTGTGCAAATAAAACCAGCGACCAGCTTATCTAAAAGGGAAATGGTGACAGATTATTGCAATCGTTTCTTTGATTTTTGTTGTGTTTTTTCATGCCCTGTCACTCACCACGGTCGGGATTGCCAAGAAAAGTAATGGTATCTTTCTACCGAATCGGTTGGTGATATAACCAAAAAGTATATTTCCAATCAACCCACCGACGCACAAAAGTGATGTAATCCATGACGCTTCTTCCATTGTGATTTTCCCAGATGGTAGCGGCGTTTCATCGGACTTCAACAAAATTACACTGGCACTCTGTTCCAAAAATTATTCATATGAGATTTTTTACTAAACCCTACATGGGTGTGTATTTCTTTTTTTTACCGTCCAGCCAGCATTGACGCCATAAGCGATCGATAGTAGGTTCACTGTTGAATTTTTTTTCAAAGATGTCAACAGTTAGCAAATTTATTTCAAAATTTTTCAAGGAAAACCTTACCAACTAACGTTGCAAAGTATTGAAATTTTACACTTGGCTCGTGCGCAGTAGTCTTGGCTCCCTTCATCGCGTTGAACTCACTTGGTCGTTGTTTCACATTAAACGTTCACTAATTAACAATGGCGAAGGAGCACAAATATTTCAGTTAAATAAATTCTCCAGAGAACCGTTTGACTGCATATTTGAACAGAACGATTACTTTCGTCATAAATTAACTTTTCAAGTGGAATGCAACTTGAGAAATTTGATAACAATAATTTATAATAACAATTAAGCGCTTCTAATTAGTTGGGAATGCTATCCCGTGTGGAAAATTTTTGACTGGGTAAGTCAGTCGATTAATTTGGGACATTCAGTGACTATTTGACTGACTAGAAGTGATTGTCTCGAACAAAATAAGCAACTGCAGTTAACTTTAATCACAAATCACTCTTAGTCAAAATGTCCCAAATTAGTCGACTGACTGAAAGAATAACTAAACGTGATTGTCTCCATACACAACGCATGAATTCAATCAACTTAGCCAGTTTTAGTTGTGTATCACTACATACAGCTACATACAACTGAGTGACTGTTAGTCATTTTATTTACACACGGGATGGCCACATTTATGAATGGCGCACCATATGATGATTTCAGTTTACATTTTGGATAAAACATGTGGAATTGAAGCACAAGCGGGAAGATTTATTATATTGATATGTACACTAATGAGTGCGCCTTGATCTAAGCCGCTTGCATTTGAACTTCGCTAAAATCAATAACAGAAAAGTCACTAATCAGCTGCACAATCTAATTGTCACATGCGAGTTTAATACCAGGAAACTCTTCGTTTTGATAACAAAGCACACTACTAAAATTCATGCCTTAAGTCAAAATAAATAGCCATTGAGATGAAGACTGACCATGTTTTGTTGCACAAACATCACTTTCACGAAGTCTGCTCCTATATTATACTGACATATGATGTGTCATTTGATATTGAACTCTAGTTTTGACTTGAAAAATTCTATAACAAATTAACTAATACTCACGTTAACTATAATTTTTATACTACTTCATCCTAGGGGAATATCACGCTCCTGAATCTTGTGAGATATTTCAGATATTTGAAATAAACATCAATTGTATGACATATTTTCGAATATTTCGAATGAATGAATCAGATTTTTGTGGATTTTTTTGAAATATTTGAAATAATTTAAGCGTGATATTCCCCTAGACTTCATCAAGCATTATCATCACGAATTTCTCTATTTATAAAGCACAACAATCCGATTCTCCCAACGTACACTGGTCAAATGAAAGCTACGTAGAGAAAACCTATTTTTATAAGCAGGAATACTCAAGGTTATCTAAACGTTGCTGCTTTCGTCATAGAACGAGTGAAGCCTCACTATGTTTGAGAGCAAAATTGGTGTAAATACATTCGATCAAATATTGATGTGAGACTGCAAACATCTCACAGTAGTTCTGAACGTATTTGTGAACTGCTCTCTGCAAATATCTCTCGGGCAGTATACGTTCTAAATATTTGCGTTCTGGTGTGTACAATTTTTTTAAGCTAGAATGGAAACTACTATTTTGAACCATGAAAATTGGTACTTCTAGTGCCAATTTGAATAAGACCTGTAACTACCTGTTTACTTTTCCGAGTGAAAGATATATTGTTGACTGGCCCATTCAAGAGGCTTTTATTTACAGATAACAGGAAAAACTAGACCACAGAACGTCACTCCGCTCCGTTTTGAGTGTTGTTTGATAAACTTTTACTTTGTTGTTTCACAACAAACAATTTTTTCGCGTACTACACACAGCCGCTGAATGTCGTCTTTCATTGCTACCAATGTGTTCGAAACGCATAAACACAGTATCGCATAAGGCAGTTATCGCATAGAAATCGCACGATAACTTTCTGTTTACGTTGTCGCAGTATACGATTTTTGAATCCGAAAAATCGGGTTTTTAAATTACGCCTGTAGAATATGCAACTTCAAATTATGGATGCGCATTCTACAGACAAAGTTGGCCGATTCTCAATTTTTTTTGGCAAACATTCATATGGAGATATGTGCAGAGTGTGTTCATAAATTGGTAGTAGCTTTCTTCTTTGATTATCTAATTACTGGTAGAAGAATGGCACTAGACATAAACATGCTCATGTAAACAGGAACATGCCCATCATGAGCTCATGAACGCATTAAAAAAACGTTTGAAATGCTGGCGAGTTGAAAAATTATACTATAAGTTTACAATTCCAAAACATTATTTGGACACAATAATTTATGCATTTAAATGTTCCCTTGGCTTCAAATTGCCACGTACGCATATGTATTGGAATATCGTTTTGTAGTTGACGATTTAGCATTCGCAATGTAGAAACCAACTGTTTACTCTCATAAAAACTCAATCTTGTGGTTATATCTATTGAATTCTAAATAAAAAGTACTCGTTCATAAATTTTACACTTGAAAAAATGCACAAATATTGCGCCCAGATATGTTCTCGAAAATTAAAAAGAAATTTATATCTTTGTTCGTGTTTTCCATTTGTTCCTATATCAAGTATACTGTTTGTAAAAATGTAATAAAACCCATTTTGTCAATCATGTTTAGAGATAGAAACAGAGGCAGAATTATCTCTCACGATCTTCATCTTACTTGCAAATCTTCGTCGAGCTTGCAAAGACCGAAATACTTGTAAAAAGTTACTTTTCGGTGGAATAAATATTAAGAACTAATTTGGAATCATGGCAGAGCAAACAGTATTATGGAATGCAAAAAACCAGGTGTATGTAACTATTATAGGTGGTGTGTTTGTGGAATAAAATACAAGAGAGACAAAATCGTAACAAATTTTATTTTAATTCAATTGCAGCAAATTGTGTGATTTTCAGTTTTGATGCTAACATGGCTTGGCTTGGCTTGGCTTGGCTTTCGCCTGCTTTGCTAATACTTTTATCGGATGAAATACCTCTCGAAAGTGGCCCATTATCAAGTGACCAGCTCTCTTGGATCGGTGCGGCAAATAGTATTGGAGCGTTAATTAGCACCTTTATTATGGTGTGGTTATCAACGTGATGGGGTTCAAAGCAAGCCATGACATTTTTGGCATATCCAACAATCATTTTTTGGCTCTTAATTTTCTTCGGTAATACATGACAAGTAAGACTGAAATTAAGATTAACAATATATTCAATTGAAATGAATCATCTTGTAATTTTAGTATACGTGGTCAACTTGGTTCAGTAACTGAACTTCAGTTGTGCCGGCAGCGAGAAACTTGGGCATGTTGATGGGTTTCATCGTTGGTGCATTGATTAAATACGAATATCGACCCTACGTTTTTATTTCCATACCCGTCATATTTTTGATATTGGTGCATTTTCTATCGAGTACACCACAGTACTACTTCAAAAAGGATGATTTCAAGGTATCAAAAATCATTCGCAATTGAGAAGTGAATGACAAAACAATGTCGTTTAATTACAGCAAGCAGAAAAGGCGTTAATGTATTACAAAAGCTGCAACGAGAAAAGCGATCGAGAAAAATCGCTTTTAAAAGTTGAGTTCGACCGAATGAAAATGGCAGAAGAAGAACGACGAATGTGCTCAAAACTGCAATGGAATGATTTCTTCAATCGAGCGGCAATAAAAGGATTCACGACGAGCATTGCGATGGCGTGGTTCATGCAAATGACTGGAGTTTGGATTGTAGCAAATAATGCATCACTGATATTCGAAACATCGGGCTCCGTATTCGATGTCAATACATCCGCGATTTGTTTGTCTCCCATGCAAATTCTCGGTGGTTTGGTTGCGACGCAGTTTAGGGTGGGCTAAAGTGTACACTATATTCGAATTTCGATAGAGACACATGCTTGGATTGTGAGAATTGATGTAAAAAGACCGTGTCAAAATTTTGAAGCGGCTAGCGTAACGGGAAGTGCTGCCAGAAATTTTATGTAGCTAGATCTGTACAGAATAGTGAAAAAATCAATAAAATCATCAAAATTAGTATGTTTCGGCTTGACTTCGCTTTATTTTCAATTCTTAAGATTGTTCAGTCATTTTTACAACGATTCATCAAAAAAATCACATTTGGTGGACACAAGTGGGCAAAATGTCCGAAAAATGCTAAATTTTTTCAGTTTTTCGACCATAACTCGCGGGGAATGCATTTTTTTCACTCACTTTCTTTGTCCAAATTATAGCCAGAGAAAAATTAAACAACTCTCTAGAACACATGAACTCGAAAAAACCACATCCAGTCCACTTTATTGGCTGAATATCAATTTGGCTACCAAACAACATTTCTGAGCATTTTTTGAATTCCTATAACTCCTCAACTGATTGAAATAGAGCAATGGAGTCTGGAACAATTTTGTAGTACTGCTCAAGAGCTTTGCAGGCCAAGTTCTAAAAGTACTAAAACAGTACTAAAAATGTACTAAAATGATTTTAGGAAAAAATTTAGCATTTTTCGGACATTTTGCCCACTTGTGTCCACCAAATGTGATTTTTTTGATGAATCGTTGTAAAAATGACTAAACAATCTTAAGAATTGAAAATAAAGCGAAGTCAAGCCGAAACATACTAATTTTGATGATTTTATTGATTTTTTCACTATTCTGTACAGATCTAGCTACATAAAATTTCTGGCAGCACTTCCCGTTACGCTAGCCGCTTCAAAATTTTTACGTAGTCTTTTTACATCAATTCTCACAATCCAAGCATGGGTCTCTATAGAAATTCGAATATAGTGTACACTTTGGCCCACCCTAACGCAGTTGGAATTTAGTCGAAAAACAACATTCATTCTATTGTATCTCTCTCATTTAAACAGCAATCATCACGCGTTCAACGTAATTTTCGTATACTGATGAGGGTCGTATTTGTTGATAAATCTAAATCTTATGTACAACGATCAAACTCTAGAGTAATATACTGCCAAAGCACTGTACATTATATTCAATAGATTGGGACTTATTGAAAGTTGTAATTGAACAGCGCAGCTGCCTACCACTGAATAGCTCTGAAGAGTGCTCAATTACTATAGTATGAAATCAAGCTATTCGGTGCAATTTTTTTTTACTTCCTCCCTACTCAATTGTTCGACACGTTTAACACGATACAATGTTGTTTCAGTTGTTCTTCTGTGTGTCTACTTTCTAAATACGATCTATCACACGGCATGTGCTACCTGCAGTGCTTACAGTGTTTACTTTTTATTATTGTTATTTAAATTGTTGGAGATAATCGCTCACCAACAGGTTGATGATTAATTTTATTGAAGCTTTTGATATTTCTTATCTTTTTTTGAAAATTTGTGATTGATTTGGCATGAAATTGCAATGGTATCGATGGAAGGCAAATAAAGTTCAGACTATTTTCGCTCCTCGGTGGAACACCGTTAAATTTATGATTAAACAAGATTGAAAATGAAGTTATTCATATGAACTAGCATGATAATATGCACAAATATAAAAATTTTCACCAAAAATTGTCATAAAGGGATAGCCAAACTTTTCATCAGTTGCCAATTTTTGTTCATATGGACTATTAAGTGGTCTATCTATGTTAAACTTCGTTAGAAATGGTTTAAACTATATTAAAATTATAGAATAAGATCAAATTCATACTGTAACTATCAATTTGAACATAAACTGATTCCGATGTCTCCGAAAAATAGCCGCTTTCGTGAATAAAAAGCCGCCAAAAGCTAGTCGTTGGCCATATTTTGGCCTAATTTTCGCAAATTTTCCAGAAATTTTTTAATTGTTTTCATTGATTTTTGTCATATATTTATCCTATTTACGATCATATAGCTCAACATGAAGATTCATCACAAAAAATTCGTTTCCAGTGGCGCCAGATCTTCGTTTGGCCGGCGCCAATATCATTCGGCTAAATTTCACCCTACAGCTGACACAATGATGTTTGAAAACTCGTGAAATGGCTTGAAATCACTGATAACATCAGTAATTCATCGTTTCACATCGTCTGTGTTGATATTTCATAAAAATTGTTGTAGAAATTCGCAAATATAGTAAATCGGTTTGGCCGAATACTTTTTTTGCGCACAATTTCGACCTCTCGATAAACATGGCTACAGAAAAGGCAAAAATCATGTTAAATATTTCCGGAATTGGCCTGAATTTATAAGAACAGATTATAAACTTAAAAAATAGATAGAAAATAGTTCGGTGTTTATCATTTATAACACGAAAAAAACCAAAATTATAAATTTTTTCCAAGTGGCTGAAAACTTTTTTGCACACTGTATCTATTTGAGTAAATTTTCATTACTCATAGCGAAATTAACCCATCAATGCCATCATTTTCCTACCTTGAACACCTATGATTTTATATTGACATATTTTTCAGATCCGAACCACTGGATTTGTGATAATCAATGTAGCAATATGTTTGGCTTCATTTGCAGCTGTTAAACTCTTCCCCATTTTGTTAGAGACTATCGATTTGCATGGATGCATGCTAATTTTAGGTGTCGGTTGAATTTTAGCATCCATTTTTGTGTATTTTGTTTTAAAAGAAATCGCTGGTCAATCACTCGATGACGTTGGCGCTGAAGACAAAGTGAAAACGGTAGGTACCAAATTCACGATGCAAAGATTTGAATTGTTTTTTATTTTACCTTAAATGTATAAAAAATGACTAAGCTATTTGTAGTGGATAAGCATTATAAATCTTAAAATAAACTTATTATTTTTAGTCAGTACTACTGAATAAGAAAAAGGAACAGAAACAAACATTTAAAATAAATTCGATATAATTCATCAATAAATTATTATTATCATGAATTGATGTAACAGTCTTGCACTCTTTTCCGGCCAAACACTTATTTAAACCTCATTATATTCAGCCAGATCTTGGCGGTGTTAAATAAAAATAATTGATATAATCCAATTCAATCCAAATGTTGAATTAATTGGTTCTTTCTTATCCCACTTATCATTGTATTGCTTGCCAAATTAAAATTATCGCCAAATCATTCTATTGACTACGATTGACGATAACATATGCTTTATTAACTTTATTGATAACATATTTTTGATAAATGAGATTGTTATCAACTGAAAAACTTTAAGACGAAGCAACCTCATGCAGCTTATCACATGTTTGGATAGCCTCAAAGAGAGACAGAGATATTTTTGGATCGTGCTTATACCATTGTATCGTCTGACTGATATAATATATGAGTGATATGAATACAATGTATGTGCATATCTATCGCATATACAAAGTTTATTTTGCCACATTATATCAGTATGTGCTCAAGCGTCAATCGCAACAACAGTGTGCAACGCAATGTTTGTGACAAAAAAAAACTGATCGCGTGCCAGATTTTTCTATAAAAATTCTGGTTTCATTTACAAGTAGAGGAATACTAATTGTGCAATCGTGATCGAAAGAGCATTTTTCGCTAAAGTGCGGTAGCTGCAATGGATATAGCAAAGGATACAATGGCTCAGTTTCAATGGACCAATATTTGGCATCAATACTATGCAACTTTTGTAGGTATTTATACATTTCGAGTCGTTTGCAATTACAATAAAAATATTTTCAATAATAATATAACTGGAACTCTTTGATCGATTTCGAACAGGGAATTTAATTATGTTGGGTCATGGATTGATTGTTGGCAGCTTGGCACCTGCGTTGTCGATATTATCTTCGAAAAACACTCCACTGGCGTCTGGAGTTCCACTTAACAACGAAGAAGTGTCATGGATCGGCTCAATAAATTGCTTAGGCGGCTTGTGTGGATCCATTTTATTTGGTTACGCTGCATCTGTAATCGGTTGCAAACGATCCTTATTTTTCGTGTCATTTACTACTGCCACATTTTGGGTGCTAACTTATTTTGGAACAGTTTATTCAGAAATTTTCGTCGCAAGGTTCATCAGGTAAGTATATCAGGAGGCTTTGGTGTTTTGATGTGATACAAATTTCTGAAGAAAAATTATTCATTATAAATTATGCAAATTAAGTGGGCTATCAGGAGGCGGGATACAAGCCGTTTCCATTTTATTTATTTCGGAAATTTCAAACGATGAGTGAGTGATTTGTGAAGTTTGTTACGTGTCCAGGAATTGATTTACATAATTCTTTACAGTATCCGAGGCCGACTTGGTAGTGTTACGCTTGTTATGCGAAATATCGGCATTTTAATCGCATATATTCTGGGAGCAACAATCAACTACTTTCAAATGCCGATTGTATGTGTTTCGGTTCCAATCATTTTTATGATTCTATTCCTGATGTTGCCAAACACACCGCAGTACTTTCTTCAGAGAGGTCAAACCAAAGCAAGTGATGATTCCATTAAAATTCATTTAGCTCAAAATTGAAATAAATTCGAAATTGAAAATCGAATAATTTCCAAGAAGTCTTTCATGTATTCATTATCATTCAAAACGACATTTTACCACTTAGAAAGCCGAAGCCGCTTTGAAGTATTACAAGGGGTACAGAGGAAACACTGACGAAGAAAAAAGAGCTCTGTACAGGGAATTCGATAGACTAAAATCAATTGCAACCGGGCGAAAAACGGATGAAAAGCTTCAAGTATCAGATTTCTGTAAATATTCGATCAAATACATTTCTATCGCTTATTTCCATTTATCATCTGTTGCCTACTCTTTACATTTCTCCATAGTTAATCGAACGGCATTGAAAGGACTTGGAATTGGTTCTGCGTTGTGTACAATAGTTCAGTTCTCGCCAAGTTTGATCATTATTTCTTATTCATTGATGATATTCGAGAAATCTGGAACAACGATCGATCCATATGTATCCTCAATTATATCGGCGGTGGCACTTATCTTTGGTTCATTAATCACTACTTATTTGGCTGATAAACTTGGACGAAAATTGTTGAATTTAATATCGTTGATAGGCTCTGCGGTCGGGTTATTCGCAATTTCATTGTATTATTATTTGCATATAAACGGCTGTGACTTATCAGCATTTGCATGGGTGCCTGTGACGAGCTTATCTTTTGTGATTTTTATATCATCAGCTGGAATTACACCGCTATGCATCATATGCGCTGTGGAATATCTCCCACCAAAGGTATTTGCACAAGATTAGAAGACACTTTCTAGCGATTATAACTTTGTCTCCCATGAAAAATGTATTGCAGATTCGAACAATGGGATCAGCATTGATCAGTGTGGTACACAGTGCAGCTTCTTTTATAACAGTAAAATTATTTCCCATTTTATTGGAGATTGTCGCTTTGCACGGTTGTATGGTTATTTTGGGCATTGGCTGCATCATTGGATCTTTATTCATAATTTTTGCTATGGAAGAAACTGCCGGTCAATCCCTTGATGATGTTGACACGAATGAAAAAATGAAAATGGAACCAATTCACGGAGAACCGCTTTTGAAAGCAGCAAAATAGATTGTAAAACAAAAATAAAACGCATTCAAAATAGACTCTGGGAAGAATTTTCATTTACTTGAACAATGAATTGTTTTCATACCTCGCCATTGCTGCTTGTTTAAAATTGCAACAAATTATTTTATTACCCACTCAATTCAGAGCGATAAAAACGCATGTTAATTGATATGATAAATCGGATTGCACTTAAACCATCTGAGATGATGCAATTTCATTCAACCATTTAACCAGAATTTAACGCTTTTAAGATAAGAAGTAATTGTCTTGTTAATTACATGTAGAGCTACATTGTAGCTTCAATTGATGATGATTGAAATCTTATCTTTTATACTCGAATGATGAGAATAATTATTTAGATTGGGTTTGAACTAAATAGAAATTCAGTCAAATAGAATTACATATTTTCGTCTGCACTTGTTTCAAGTACAGTCACCCCTGAATAAATTTCGTCTCATTGAAGTTCCAGTAGTAGTAGTCTTATACATCATCATAATCATGGTGCAACAATCAAACAACGATGCAACAAGCGATGGAAAAAAGGTTGGACAGTCTCGTTCTAGTATGTAAGCGAAACCGAAAAATTAGCACACCATTTTTTTCTTTGAATGTTGCAATTAAAATAAAATGTCTTAAGCTTTGACTATTAACGAATATTGTTTGAAAATTTTAAGATATTCTACTCATTCCTTTGACCATTCAACTATGTAGAGTAATAATATCAATGATGAAAAGAATGATTATCGAATTGCACGGTAAAAAAAACCATTCCATTGTAGATTGAAGCCGGTGGCAGTTACAGATGATTCTGAAAGAACATCAATTGAATTTGATCCGTTTTCAACGAGAAAAGTTGAACATCCTACAACGTATGTAAAATTAAATAAACCTAAATTCTCAGTGGCAATTAATTAACATGTTTTAGTGATAATGAAACTTTAGTTTATCTTATGAAAGGGTCACTTGGCACTGGAGCTCTATCGATTCCATACGTATTTAAACTGAGTGGTTTGGGTTTTGGTTTAATACTCACATTGGTGACTGCATTCATCTGTGTCCATTGTAGTTATATAGTAGTAAGTTGTCTCACATTCAATCCAAAGTGAAATATTCTGAAATCGAATATTGAGCTGACCCAGGTAGAAATCGAGCAACCTCCTTCGTATGAATGAAGGATTAAATGGTGAGAATGTAAACAATTTCATATTATTCGAACTTCCTCTAGTTTCCTCTAGGCAAAGTGTGCGCACGTTCTGTACGGACGAATAAAAGTTTCATCGATGACCTATCCCGAAGTGGCTGAAGCTGCATTCACTAATGGTCCCAGAAGACTTCGTTTTCTAGCGAAAATTGTCAGATATATTGTGACGATTTGTATGTTCATTACTTACTTCGGAGCTTCC